AAAAAAGAAAGAAGATAGCTAAAGTAAACAGCGAAAATTGCAATAATGACACAAAGGTGCAAATGCGAGAAAACTCAATACGCGTGACATGTAGTGCAACAACAAGAGACAACCACTGGACATACATGTAACTAACGAGGTTTTGACGACCTACCTAACAGCCTAAGTGTGAATTTGATTTGTTTCTGCTTGCAAAGGTTGCAAAGTATCATTGCATTTTTGTCTCAGAGGAAACATTATAGCTGTATTTTTCATTGCAAAGCCGTCCTTGATTGTTGTGTTCGTTGTTCAAACAAAGTGGACATTCAATCAAGAAGGCAGAGGACATAGGGGCCTGATTGGAGTTTCTCGTGGCACAGGACGGCCACACAGAGACACTTTGCGATTTTCTGAATATAAAATACCGTACGCACGATGCAGAGACCCATTTGTGCTATATCAAATTGTTTGTGATCTACCACATCGAGCAGAACGGGATCCAAACACAAGATTACCGACAGTTAGGCTGCCGACCTGACTGGAAAAATGATCCCTGGCTTCACCAGACGCCAGAAGTCGGAAACCATGTCCTTTGCCGCGACGTCCATCTCCAAAAAGAACTCCATCTTCGTCGTGAAAGGGCTTGAAATACTCGATATTCAACAGAGATTCGCGGTCTCACGTTTTCTCAGATCGAGTCGCTTTTCTTGTAGCAGTTGCAGGGCAGATCCCCGCCACTACTTCAACAGGGTCTCGCTTCACAGCATGCCTGGAACGAGCCATATCGAGGTTGCAAGCTACTCCTCTCAGCAAGAAATTCGAAATTTCAATCGTGGAAGGTATACTACGAAGAAATTTCAAAATGTATGGTTGGCGGCACGAACGTTCAACCTACATCATTCAAACTTTGCACGATGGTTCTGACCTACAAGGTAGGCATGGAACCGCACAGTTTCATGTAATAGATGACACAGAAAGTCACACACAGAGCACATTCGTGTGCACATTCGTGTGCACATTATACTAAATTAATGGACGTCGTCATCTTCTTCCCGTTGGTCTCAAATATAGTATGCCGTGCTATTTCATCTGACGCCCTCGTTAGTAGCTAATCTCTGGTCCATTAAAACAGCTGTCTTGTAACAAGGCTTATCTTGTAACAGGACTTGCAGCTAAAGGTGGAATAGGCACTAGTTCGTAGTTACCTGGGCTACCCTCAATACAACATGAATTATCGACGCTTCCACTCGTTATAAGATAATTGAAAATCTCCAACATAGCTCCTCCTTGGATGCAAAAGATATCTACGAATGCAAAGGTATGATAAGTTGTGCCTTTCTGTTTTATCCTATGTGTTCTGGTCTTGCTCCTACATGGTCTCTATTATCCTATACTGAGCGTTTGTCACTCCAGGGACCTGGGCAAAGGGTTGTCAGAACGAATTTTATGTACTAAAGAATTGTGTTGTAACCGGACCTGTAAACTGCTGTGTAGACAACGTTTCACCAGGGGATTTCAGATTTCTCTTTACTAACGGGGTTTATGTACTCAGGTATGATAAGGTCCCAAGCGTATGTTACATGTGTTGTGTATGTTACAATGCTCCTTGACAGTATGCGATGTACAACTGCTGGATTAGAAAATCGAATTATGCACAGTTTGAGTGATTTGTTGCAGAAAATCGCTGCTGGAGGCGGAATTCAAGTGCCGGATTAAAGCGTAGAAAACGAACTGAAAATATCCGTTTCGCCAGAAAGTGTGCTGGTTTGCAAGGGTGCTGGATAAACAAGTGCCGGATTAGAGAGGGACGACTGTATTGGTAATAACTTTGGCATACATCAATATTTTCAACCTAATTGTCTGTGTCGATACATTGGGTTAGTTGTCATCGATTTCCGATATCAAATTTCAGTTATGAGCAGAATGACGTCATCAGTGCTACTTTTTATGTTCAGATTTCAACCCAAAATGCGGAGAAAACGAAACATAGTAAGGCCACAAATCCTGGTGAATTGGATGGCCTTTGGGCCCTAGATAAAGGATAGTAGCCTTATACCTCTCCATATTCACCCTCTTCACCCTAAAACCTAATAAACGAGTCCTGTTGGTCATACATGTACATGCGCTCAGAACTAATGCTGTTACTTCACTATCCTGTATAATTACTTCACTATCCTGTAATAGCCAACTGGCATGTTCTTGCATGAATCTGAGAACGCTTTTCATGTGCACTTAATGACGGAATCTTGTTTAACCTCAATGTCGATTGAGGATCGATCTTGTACACGTTCTGGTGCATGTGGCACGGGAGGTGACGACCTTGGAGAACACGCCCGTGCAGCTTTGTGACCTTGGAGACCACGTTCGTGCAGCTTTGAGGCGGGAGCCAATCATTGTTAGTTTCGATTCGAAGATTGCTTTGTGGCGGGAGCCAATCATCGTCCATTTCGATGCGAAGATTCGACCAATCCGCGATCATTGCGCCAATTCGGGAGTCGGTTTATAAACAGTGAGCCAAGCGATTCTACCGTCACTTCTTTTCTTTTCAGGCAGCGCTTCGGAGCTGTTGTGTGCCCTAGGAAAATTCTACGCTAACGTCCGTGAACAGGGCTGTTCTGAGTAAAAACGAAATTCCTGGCTTGCCACTTGATCCGCAATCATCGGGCCATTGACATGTTGAGCCTCCAAAACCTTGTGTGCTCGCTGGAACGCTCCATCTATGAAGATGCTCACTGTTGGTTGATGAATTGTCAGCACCTGGTCACATGCGGATCCAGCGGCAATGGCAAGCAAGGAATTTCGTTTGTACTCAGAAAAGTCCTGTTTACGGAGGTTAGCGTAAAAAAATTCTAGGGCACTCGACAGCTCCGGTGCGCTGACTGAAGAGGAATAAAGCGTAGCACCTAGTACTGCTCTCTTTACAGTAAGTATCGACAAATAATTTAATTCGAAAAACCAATGATGTACATGTAGTGCATCACATTAGCTGCTAGCTGCTAGCTGTACTGTGCATGCACGCGAGCCGAGCATGCACGCACTTGAGTAGGGCACTTGGCTCCCACGCGCGATCGCTGGTCACAACTGAGTCTGTACACCACTGTGCTTGTGTCGTTGTGACTTGCAAGTGCACTCTGTACTGATGTACTGATGTACTGTACAGAAACAAGGCAAGTGCAGTTTTCAGTGCATGGACTCGGCTACTAAAACATTTTGTGGATGCAAACAAGCCTTCTTTAGGGCGCGTTCAGACTGGCGTAAAAAACAAGCGGAATGTGAAAGTTGTCAAGGTGAATCGCTCACGTGACGTTCCTGCCAGCGTAAACACGGAAAAGGTTTCCCACCACTCTGCAGGCCAGTGGAATGCAGATTCGGGCGGCACGCGGAGCGCTTTTGATATCCTTGCAGTACATGTTCCGTCTTTTCGTTTTATTTCAGCCTCTACTCTTGCGGTCTGACTGCATGCTTTTGAGTTTTGAGTTTTGACTTCTAGACTACAAACTTCTCCCATCATGCCGAAATCTTTGTTCGACTCAGCAATAGAGAGGGAGTTCATGGAGCTGTACGTGGTGATTTTTGCGGGCCGCTCTGCAGGCAAAATGTTACTGCGAACGAGAAGCATACTCTGATCGCAGAGCGGATGAATGCCACCCAAGCACCAAACACTCCGGACATAGTATTCTTTCCGTCGACAGGCACAAGCAAAAGCACAATGATCCAGTATTTCAACAGACTGAATTAGTTTATTTTGATATCCAACTCAAACTGAGTCAACTCAAATTTTTCAAATGTCGAAGCTTCACATGTGCTGGCCATTCCAGCGGGATACACGTGCAGTGTGATTGCGATTCCCGGGATTACGCTGCAGCTTTCCGGCGGCTATTCACGCCAGTCTGAATGCCCCCTTATGATCTTGGTCATTTTCCTCAATGGACTCTGCGCTTCGAGCTACATGTGTTTGTGGGGTATTGCTCAACTAGAACCAAGGGTACATAACCCCCAGAGTGTGCAACGCCTGATCCAGCTCTTCATAGGGTCTTGGTCAAGCGGAATCGGATCTTTGCGTCATAATACTGTACACATCTCAGGGGAACCCGGGGAGTCGCGGGTACTCTCGGATGAAAAACAATGGTGCCCTGCCACGAGATCGGTCTTGCGCTGGTGTGGAGTGCACGCATGACATCAGAAGATCCGATTCCGCTCGACCAATACCCTATGCAGAGCTGGATTGGCGTTGCACACTCTGGGGGTTATGTACTCTTGCTAGAACTGGAGTCCTCACATGCCCCAAGTCATGCCGAGCTAATCACTTTTGTCAGCTGAGCTCCTGCTCGAGAATCAACACATTTATTCCGTCCGGTGTCATTCCCGCTGCGAGTGGAGAGCTTCATGCCCACGATAAAAGAGAACGTCATGATATTTGAATCCTTCGTCAGAGAAAGCTATTCGAGCTCAAAACGACACAAAACAACGGCCATGATAATGATACTCATACAGATCGCGATGTTACTGGCCTCCAATCCAAGTGCTGCCAAAAGACTGGAAGTATTTTCGAAACAAGATTTTGAAAAACCTGAGTGCTCGAGTGCGGTGAACACGGCCAAACGCCATGTTTTCCTTGGTAACACGACGTCAGCCGCATTATCACCATGGCGAGTTGCAGCGCCAATCTTGAAGTACAGCGGCACCAGAAAAGTGGACTTAGTCTACCTGAGTACTAACCCGGACTCTAACCCGGACTCTAACCCGGACTCGTTACAATGAGGGAGGACCTGTATCCCTCCAGCTTTAGTTTACTTGATGAAAGTTGTAATTTGCAGAGCACTTTGTATAGACCCCACCCCCTCCCCCCCCCCCCCCCCCCCACCCCCTCCCCCCTCCCCCCCCCCACCCACACACACGTCGCTAGCAATATTACTGGGTTATGATCCCGTTTGAATTTGCGAAGTAAAGTAACAATTACGAAAAAAGAGAAAAAAAGACAGGGCCCGGTTGCAGCTCGAGTAGACTTGAAAATACAACTCACAGATATACCAGCTTTGGAAGGTGTTCAAAACCTTTGGCAGGGAGTTCTGTCAGTCCAAGATAATCTGCATCTCTGCACAAGCAAACAACAACAAAAAATTGATTTTGACTTCCACATTGCGATTTCCTTGGCCCTGGAAAGCTAAGATATGTCCAATTGTGTTACACTAGCCTGGCTGTGTCCTATTCTTCTGGCTGGCTCTCCAATATTGGGCTTCTACAGAATGCTGCAGCATTCAATTATGGGGCTGCTCATTCAGGGATAACAGTCATGTTGGCATGTGCTAATGGGTAAAACTTGATACCTGTGCCCTGGAACATACTGCCCGTGCCCTGTGTTGTGAACCATCTGGTTCTCTAAAGTGTCAGGAACGAACGACCACACGGCACGAGGACAACTATTCACTCTGGACAGTGTATTGACTTCGATCGACTAATTAATGAATAACTAACACTAAAACCACCAGGTAGTTATAGCGTGAAAATGACAGCGTGCATGAGAAAAGCACACACATACAACATACAACTACAGCACACACAGCAAATTGCACACAGCGCCTGTAACGTATACCACGTCGTAAACCTCAGCGGTTCGGGGGAGTCAGGATACAACTGCATTGAAATGAACACAATGTCATAAGCGAGAAGGCCTTTCACTCTCGAGAACTTGTGGTTTCACAACATTCTCCCCACCAAAGAGCTTCTCACCGCCGTACAACAACTCACAAGTCAAAAGCGACCGGGGCTCTGACTACATGCCCAGAACGAGTCCTCCGCTGCTGTGGGGGTGGCCAAGGTGGAATATCACTACTGCTCACCAATTTGGCCAACTCGATTTCGCGAAGCTTGCTGCTGTGGAATGTCACACACGAAACGGTCACCGGTCCACTTCGACCAGGGGCAGACGCTGGACCAGACAACACACAACCGATAATTTCACCAAGCTTGCAGATCTGGGCTGTCACTAGGGATCTCAGCGCGTGAGTTGCACAGCCAGTCTGCGCAAGTGAGATTTTCCCAAATGCGTCCCGTGCTGAAACCATTCCTGACATGGTGACATCATTGAATGCATCATTCCTGACATGGTGACGTCATTGAATGCATCATTCCTCACATGGTGACATCATTGAACGCATCATTCCTGACATGGTCACATCACTAGAGGCTCTGAATACATGTAGATATGATGTACAGAAATGATGCGTTAAACTTAAAAAGGTCGTTCTGTGAGGGCAGCGCGGAAACATTACAAACGAGATCAAGACTCACTAGGCCAAGGTAGTTCAGCCTGTGTACATCGCCTTAACAATAGCAACTGTTCGCGGAATAGCAGAAAGTTCTGTCTGCATTGCTTTCACTCCACTCACTTGTGATCCTGTGTCACTGTCGTCATCTGCTTCACGCAAGCCGTCATCTCTATCTAGCTGTTGGTCAATTCTTTCAGCATTGACTCTTTGGTCACACTCCACTGAAATTTGGTCATGCACCCCGTTCAAGTAAGCATTCAAGCTGTGTGATCCACTGCGGTGGCGAGGACTCGTTTCCACCCGTTAGTCGTACAAATATGTTATGGCCATCTTGCTTCACCTCCTTTCTCCAGAACTCTGGAAAACGATGAATAAAGGCATAGCCAAACTGATTTCATTTCCGCTGTTGGATGCTCCTGCCAGCACCGAATGGCAGGGACTAGCATGTCCTGTCGACTTTCTTTAGACACACGAGACTCGTGTTGTACTCCAGACTTCTAAAGGATACACGGTTATCAGCATTCAAATCTTTGGTTTGAGCAGTTGGAGCACGAACTTGAATTCAGAATCATGTCATTGCGCCTAGCGATTTTAGCAGTTGGTTGTTCATCTGCTCATTGTGTGGGTTTGATCCTCGATTCCATCACTCTCTATCCCTCTCAAACTCAGTGAGAGAGAGCAGTATGTCCTTCGAGAAGTGGTATTACACTTTCGCAGTATGTCCTTCGAGAAGTGGTATTACAGTTTGGCTCACCGTGGCAGTCCTATGTTGCCACAGTTCAACCATCGATTCCGCTCGGTTTGTTGTGAACGGTTCCTTTCTCTAGATCATATCTCGTTCATGGCATGCCAGGGAAGGCCGAGAAGGTGATCTCGACTCATTCCATGGCAGTTTATGCGAAAACCAGTCCCTCCAAAAAATCCATCACGAAGTTTTGTCAATGGTGGAAGTTAACCTTAACAGACCGCAAGCTCCTATTGCTGTACCCCAGAGAGAACTTCCATGATTTTCCGATGACGAATAAAAAAGAAATATCAATTGCACCACAGCTGTGCTGTCAACTTGTTAACATCCTAATCAGTGGCCGATTAAGGAGTGAAATTCAGGGCAAATCACGGTTTTGCAACATAATTGACTTACATCCAGAAAGTGCTGGGACAGCTCGAGAGGGTGACGCTTAATTCATTTCTTACAAGTTTGCAGAAGGAATGTTGATACCCGTCAGAAAAACCACACCAGAATGCTAAGACTAAGATCATGGTCAAAGTAGACATCTGAACAGTAGACACAGAAAGTTTACATCATAGTAGTTGCACACATTCATCTTCTTCTTACTGCTAATCAACACCCTGTCATGAAGGGAAATGGTGTGAGTACCCTTTGTCATTTGCAATTCATTGATGGATTTCCACGATCTAAAGCTCATTGGAAAGTCCCGAGCCACCTTTGACTCCCCGGCAGTTCTCAGCTCCATAGGCATGCCAGGGTGAAATATAATGTGCTCTAGAATATGTCCTTACATGTCCTCGAATCGCTTTTAAATCAACTTTATAACAAATTTCTGTTCGGCATCTCTCTCAAACTAGACTGAATTTCACGAATGTAACTGCAATGCAAAGCTGAGATCCAAGAGCTTTGTTTGAAGACCACCACCACTTGCTGTAGCAAAGGGAAATCCCCTCTAAAGAAGCCAGTCACTAGCACAAAGTTTGAACTGCTCGCCGGAGAGCGTATTTTTGAATTTTTGTAATTCTATTCGTCACCGCTCCCTCAAATCTAGACCTATCGCAAAGACGACTAGAAAGCTTTCCAAATGTGTATGGTTTGTGACAATGGGCTGCCGTTAACATGCATAACAGTAGTTTGTACAGTGAGCTATAAACACTATTGCACTATTGCTATACACTTGACACTATTGCTATACACTTGGCACTATTGCTATACACTTGGCACTATTGCTATACACTTGGCACTATTGCTATACACTTAGCACTATTGCTATACACTTGGCACTATTGCTATACACTTGGCACTATTGCTATACACTTGGCACTATTGCTATACACTTGACACTATTGCTATACACTTGGCACTATTGCTATACACTTGGCACTATTGCTATACACTTGGCACTATTGGTATACACTTGACACTATTGCTATACACTTGACACTATTGCTATACACTTGGCACTATTGCTTGTGGAGTGGAGTCACTTGTCTTCCCATCCGCCGTTCAGGCACGCTTTACAGAGCGAGATATCCCTTCATTAGCAGTGACAGAGGTAATTTTTTGAAATGTGGAACAAGAAACACATTGATACACTCCAATCGAGCGCCATTGATGATTTGAAATGAAAGAAACGAACCAATTTACCCTACAACTACCAAAATTTCAACTACCCTAGAATTACCGGAGGCATTATGATTATGACTCCACCGGACTTAAACATACCTGTTTGGTATTCTTTTTGGCAATATGTGTAGAAACTAAAGCCCTTGGGTTATCAGGGTAACTTTTAAAAGGAAGAACCAATTACAGGTGCACTATAGTGGAGACTAGCAGCTGGCAGTGTGTGCAGCGAAAGGGCGACCGATCGTCAGTTACGGAAAAAGAAAAGAACATTTGCTTGCAATGCTCGTCTTGCAAACTATATTTCGTTTTATTACCCATGTAATGACTGCTGCTTCGCCCAGTTCCTGGATTTGACTGAGCAAGGTTGGTCATTCTTCGACTGCCGCGATAAACACATCTATGAGTGAAAGGAGAAAGTGGTGTCGCGACTCATTACAAACAAATAATTTATTATCATTATTCAAGCGGTAGTTTGGAGACGGTGAAAAACCAGTTTCGAAATGGATACTTTCACATGCAACAACGCAACTCCACACAATTCAGTAGACACTTCCTTCTATCAAACGCTTTCTCTCTGAAAACGACCATGACTTCAACGGACGTTGGAGTTGGCAACCGGAGAAACCAAACAAACAAGCCCAACGGAAGGAGAACAACGGCAAACGTCGAAGGTGACAGAGCTAAGTGATCGGACATCGTCCATCAAGCGTCATTTCTCAGGCAGTGCTAGTTGTCGTGAATTGTATAGTGATGATAATTATCTTTTCGATTTTAACTCAAGGAAGGTCTAAGTTACATCTTGCTGTGTTAGAAGCTCTGTATTATTCGTAAACTAGATCCAGAACTATGTGTACAGAAGGAGAATGTGTTTGAATTCTTTATTCTCACGATGGCACCATCGCCAATAAGAGATAAATGTATGAGAAGGTGAGATTGTGGGTTAAACAGTTGGAAAGTGATTTACATCACTTTGAACTTTACAAGTATGGGAGAGGGTGAGCGCTGCAGGAGCAGATTGAGTTAATCAGCAGTGAGCAGGTTTCTTGTTTGAAAGCAGGTCGGGAGGAGACGTCACGAATGCTGGCAGGGAGGGCATGTGTTATTGTTATAGTTGTTTGGTGTGGCACCTCGTGAAAGTGTGACAAGTGTTCCCTGTTGTGTTCAACGTGTTTGCCTACAACTTGCAGCTTTTGTTTTTGAGTTTTTAAGAAAGCATGTCTGAGAATACCAAAGTATGTGTGCAAGTGGATCTCTCCGATTTCGCTCAAAATTTGGAGGTAGGTTCCCTTTGGGGTGTGGATCGATTGTGCAAAGCACTTGAAAACGTTTCTGAAGGGAACCTTGAAATTTGCATACCCTCAAAATGGCCGAAATATCACATTATTAATTATGGGTGAAGAAACGAGTCACGCCACAGCGTATACGAACAAGCTATGAACAAAACTCCATCAAGCCAACATTGCCTCACCTTGGAAGAGTTCCTGGAGCAGTACCGCTTGGCCATGCCAGGATCCCAGAAGACGAGGTCCATCACCCCCTGACGCCACAAATGATCATCTTGAAAATAGCCAATTTACAAGCGCTGGCAAAACAGCCAGCTACGTCCTCAATGGGCCAGAACTATACACCGGCAGATAGTAGAACACCGCTTGTAGCGCTGAGGACATGTCCCCCATCTTCCTTTTGGAGTTTTCTGGAAAAAAACGTTTTTGAATTGTTCCACTCGACCATGCTGAAATACGGCCAAAGTCATACCTGCGCAGGAAAGCTCGCCCCTCCGCGACGTCTCCTCACCAATTTCTACTCCAACACTACTCCCAAGGCTGCAGAACAAAGTGTATTGTTGGCTCTGACAAGGAAAAGCAGTGGTGATCACTTGTCACTCCAAACGACAAGCTTCTCCTTGCACCACCAATTTTGTGCGACTGTTGATGCAAAAGTGACTGAAAGCATGAGCGCAGTTTTTGAATTTTATTGCAAGATGCACGGTGAGATCGCGTGCTCTGTGACGTAGGATGACGCTTCGTGGATCACGACACGCGGCCATCGATCGCGAACGTGACTAGAACGCTACTCGAAACAGACCATGATGGCAGAGGTAAGATGAGCTGTATTTCCTGCTTGATCTGCTGAGAACCCCACAAACTGTCCTAGGAATGTTGCAATGGCAGCAAGCCGTTGAAATATGCCCCCCCCCCCATACAGCATGGAGAGTTATTCATCTTTCACACTTACCTCCTGCAATCCCGAACATAGTCCAACAGTAAAAGTCAATGTTTTTATGTGGATGCTAGACAAAAACTGCTAGCCCGGTCGCTTTGTGTTGACTGGTATGCGAGCAGAACTGGCTGCACGAACCTGTCGTGTGAACTGCATGAGAGATTTATTATGTCATAAAGAATGTGATTTCATCATCATTTCACTGGTCTTCGACCTACATGGTCAGGGAAAGTCCCGGTTCGTAGGCCTACAACACGGTCAGCGTGTTCTTGAGCACAGTAACACCACAAGTGTGATCACTTCCAGACCAATGGCAACGGGCGTTCAAGGCGAGTAACAAGCGCACTTGACGAAGGTGACTCTGAAATCTCGTGAGTAGGCCTGTCCGAATTATGTTCTGAATGTTTTTGCATTTTGGGGTACATTTTGCATTTTTGCATTTTTTGCACTTTGCCCATTTTCGGTCGAATTCCAAGGTTTCAGCCAAGGTTTCAGCTCGACCAAGTCAAGTACGACTTGCTATTTCAGTGTCTTCTGTCTCTCTCACTTATGTTGAAGTAGGCAATTGCAGGTGGCAAGCATTGGCGAGCCGTATCCATCCAGATCCCCCTGTAGTTAGGATTGGCGCCTCCTAGCTGTGCAGCAACGGCTTCCGTCAAGGGCAAATGCATGGGCTGCATGGCCACGAAGGTGCGAAGGCCACTGATAACTTCGTAAGCTACAAGACAAAGTGTACCGTCGCCTTCCAACTTGGACGTGGCTTGTACGAATGGACGGCAAAACTCGACCGTCACTGCAAGCTGGATTTGGAGTTCTTCTCGACGTTCAAGGTTCTCAATGACAGCACGCATTCGGCGGCGCAAAGCTCCAGGCGTCTCGACAGCAGTAAGGAGAAATCCGACCACATCTCCGAACACGGTTTAGCAGTTGATCCATGACTTCATATTTCAACCACCAGCGGGTTTTGCTATAGGTCTTCATGCTCACATTTGTCAGAGCCTTCCACTCCAACCGCGACTTGGGGCTGTTAGAAATCAGCTGAATCCAGGAAGATACAAATGTGTCTAGCTGGTCGGTCACCACAGCTTCGCCGACATGATCCAATGTGTGGCTGAAGCAACCTACATCAAACAAATTGATGTAGAGCGGCTGAAGGCTACGGATCGCCACATCATTCACCTTCGCTCTATCACGCATGGCAGCTAGAACATGCTTAGGAGGTAGCTGGTACAAAACGGCCAGAGTGTTCAGCAACGTATGAGCAACTTTTTCCCCGCCGGAGAGACTCTTCACTGCAAGTTGTAAGCGTATCAGCTTTTGGTGGACATTGAAGTTGTCGTCAATATAGCGAATCACTAACGCCATCGCCTCACACACCTTTGTCGTTCCGTCAAATATCACAGCGACGTTCCTCCCCGTTAGGCCGCGGTCACACATGAAAAGCTTGCACCGCTTTTGCGGAGGCGGAAAGCGGAACTACCGCAGCCGCTTTGGCGGACCACACGATGCAGCAGTAACACATACATGTAGACTACTCTGCTCCTCAACGCTCCGCTTTGGCGGAGAGAATGCAAATGCAGCACGTCCCATGAAATTTTAGATGTTCTTGTCCGAGTTGAAGCGACCTTCGCTTGTACAAGTAGAGCTATCGTGGATCGCTGACAGGCTGCTGAATGTCTCCTGTCAAGTACACTCGTGG